TTTCTGGGCCAAACAGGATGAAACACACACACACACACACACACACACACACACACACACACACACACACTGAGTTTGTTTTTTCTTATTAAGTTGTATTTCTGCAGGGAGCTTCACTCTGATTTACATTTTCGCGCACACACACACACACACACACACACACACACACACACACACTGGTAAATACTCATTCATTATTCAGATATTATTGAAAACTTTCTCCTTCATGTTAAAATGAATGTTTGCCCTATTTTTACACGTTCAGCTGATCTGCTGTGCGCTGATTAACAGACTCTCAATCTTACACCAGCAATTAATGGGAACTAATTAATTATAATTATAATATAATTAAGTATAATTTGATTATGACAAATTAAACACTGTCTCTGTTTCCCACATAATTAGTGCCAAACAGTGGTGGAAGAAGAGGCAAAACTACAGTGTAAAAATACTCCCTTACCCACGGTATCTCATTAAAGTCCTGCATTCAAAACCCTCAGTTTAGAGTGTGGGTGGAAGAAGTGCTCTTTACTCAGGTTTGCAGCCATTTTCTGTCTCTTTGTAGTTGTTTTGTGTCTCTTTGTAGTTGTTTTGTCTCTGTAATTGTTTTGTGTCTCTCTGCAGTCAGTTTGTGTCTCTTTGTAGTTGTTTTGTGTCTGTAGTCATTTTGTGTCTCTTTGTAGTCATATTGTCTCTTTGTAGTTTTGTGTCTCTTTGCAGCCATGTTTTGTGTCTCTCTGCAGTCATTTTGTGTCTCTTTGTAGTGGTTTTGCCTTTTGCAGTCTCTTTGTAGTCTTATTGTCTCTTTGTAATTTTGTGTCTCTTTGCAATTGTTTTGTGTCTCTTTGTAGTCATTTGGTGTCTCTGCAGATATGTTGTGTCTCTGCAGTCATTTTGTGTCTCTTTGTAGTTGTTTTGTGTCTCTTTGAAGTTGTTTTGTGTCTCTGCAGATATTTTGTCTCTCTGCAGTCATTTTGTGTCTCTTTGTAGTTGATTTGTCTCTGTAATTGTTTTGTATCTCTCTGCAGTCAGTTTGTGTCTCTTTGTTGTTTTGTGTCTGCAGTCATTTTGTTTCTCTTTGCAGCCATGTTTTGTCTCTTTAGAAATTGTTTTGTGTCTCTTTGTAGTCGTTTGGTGTCTCTGCAGATATTTTGTGTCTCTGTGGTCATTTTGCAACTCTTTGTAGTTGTATTGTCTCTTTGAAGTTGTTTTGTGTCTGCAGATATTTTGTCTTTCTGCAGTCCTTTTGTGTCTCTTTGTAGTCTTTCTGTGTCTCTTTGTAGTTGTATTGTGTCTGTAATTGTTTTGTGTCTCTCTGCAGTCAGTTTGTGTCTCTTTTGTAGTCTTTCTGTGTCTCTTTGTAGTTGTATTGTGTCTGTTTGCAGCCATTTTGTGTGTCCCTAGTCATTTCAGGTATCTTTGTAATTGTAATATCTTAAAGCGTCTTTGAGTATCCTGAAAAGCGCTATGTAAACCCAGTGTATTATAGATCTGTTAAATAATGCAAATTACTCCCTCAGAGTTGCAGGCACATAAACAGCACAATAACCAATCAATAATTTATTATCAAGTTAAGAAAACATAAAACTGTGTAGATCAATTAAATTACCTCTGGACTTTGGAGGAGCATGTGTTTATGTTTCAATGTCAAGCAGAGAAAATACTACATATATATAAATCTGATAAAATACATATGCTGGCTGATATAACTCACAATACATGACAGTTAAATCATGTTTGCCTTAACTTTAAAACATTTATCTACTTATCTAGCTGTCTCATAAGCATTTTCTTTAAATACATGGTGTGTAGAATTACATTGTAAATACATAATGGATCATATATAGATTTTATACTCACCGAGCTGCCAGTGCTGCTGCAGATTCTTGTAAAAAAAAGTCTTGTTAAAATCAGGCGTACAAAGTAAAATTTAATGTGTATCAAAAATTACAGGAATGTCCTGATTGGGCTCATCATAACTAAAGTGAAATAAACTGTAATAATGAAATTACTTCAATTAATAGATTCTATTTCTGTGCATCCTTAAATGGTTTTTGGAAGAAGTATTCAAATCCTTTACTTCAGTATTGATACTGACAAAATACTTGAGTACAAGTTTCTGCATTCAGAACCTTATCTAAGTATTTTCAGCAAAATGTACTTAACATGATCAAAAGTAAAAGCAGTCTTTGTGCAGTAAAATGTTTCAGAAATCTCTCTGTGAAAGAACACGTCGACCACTCAGCGTTTTTATAAAACTCATCTTTATTGATCCACATTCATCCCTCCATCCTCATCTCCTCTCTCCATATTTTCTGTTTCTCTTCTTATAAAAAGCTGAATATTTACATCCTCTTTGTGTTATTTACACTATTTTACACGATGACGTCACCAGAGCCTCACACCTGCAGAAAGATCAACTTTCACCGCATGGAAACATCACCCAGACCTCTGGTGATTGGCTGGAGGTGTTGCCTGGCAACGGCAGCTTATGTTGGATTAATATCTGGTAAGGGGAGTTGTTTTAAATCATTTATGTATTTTTTTCAATATTTGATAAGCTGAGGAGAAACATGAGGAGTGACCCTTTGGAGATTTAGCTTTGAACGCAGCTAAAGACAGATGAATCAAAGGATTGTATAGAGGCACAGGAAGGACAAAATCATTTAAATTCTTTTTTTTTTTTGTATATTGTGAAATATAACCGAATGAAATGAAATAAAAAAAAACAGAAAAATTCAGATGTTTTTTTATTCAACATTATTTAGTTGTGATTAAATTTCACAATTAAGTGGTCATTAAATGGCTTTTTCTGTGCTTCCTTAGTCTTTTTTAAATGTTGATTTGTTTTTCTTGCTAAATTACAATTTAATTATGAGCTAAATTCAGACATTTATGGCAAAGAAAAAGGGAGTTCATGAGTTGTTAGTAAGCTGAGGGAGACACGCGACCATTTACAGATTTTGATTAAAAGAAAACAGCTGCTGCTGTCTGATGACTCAAACTCCGGCTATGGAAGCACAGAAGGGACAAAGGAAGTACATTTTCTATATTTTATATTGTGAACTACAATCTGAATTTTTTTTGAAATGGTGAAACCTGAAATTACCCTTTTGAAAATCTAAAATGATGTAAATGCAGTGGTAGAGTTCAGCTTGAAGTATTCAGTAGTAATTAAACTTCATAAATAAATTGCCGATTAATTAAATGTCCTTTCTTTGCTACGCTAATCTTTCTGCATATTGATCTTCCTGCAATTTTCCGGGCTGTAGAGAAAAATTATGAGAAAAATTTGAACAAGAATCACTGATTAGAAGAAACCGCTTTAAACGTAAAGTTGGTTCATTAAAGCTATTTTTTTCTGATTTTAATTTCAGTTTCTTGCAATAAAAAGTATCTTATTTTACATTTAGCAAGACAAACTACAACATGTTGAAGGAAAAGCCTGATTACTGATTGAAACTAGTTGAGTGTACGGGTGATTTAGTGTTCGGCAACCCTACAGATCTGCACTGTGTTCTTTGACTCGTCAGCAGCAGAAACTCAGGTGTTACTAACAGCATTAACGATGGCACGTTTTCTGTCTTTACTTTCACTTTTGGCGCGAACACACAGACTGAGGATTTGCATTTTGAGCCAAACTGCAGCGTGAATCACTGAAACATGTGAGTGACTTAATGTGCAGTGCACTTGTAAAGGTTTTATAGAGGTGACGAGCAGCTTTGAGCGATTACATTAATCCTCCTCTGCTTTTAAAATAATGTTTTTTTAACCTTCAAAAACAGGCGGCTGTGAAGCTTGAATCAAAGCGAGGGTTTGGTTTGCAGATGTAAGACTCTGGTTGTGACGGGATTATACTGGTTTCCACTTCAGTCCTCTCCTCTCTGCTGGATGGGAAACTTTCACTCCAGCCACTTTCACGGTTTCACCAGTTGAGATAACGGCCAGCGTTTCCTGCGCCGCCATCGGCTCACAAACATATGTTACAGTACTGCAGGGCCGACACACATTAAGGACGTGCAGAGGCAACGGAGACAGGCAACTTCATGGGCAACTATGTAAAAAAACAACGGCAACAGAAAAATGCCTGCTATGACAGTACGATGGTGTATTAGGGCAATCATAGGTAAAACATTTTTAAATAAAATTAAATTGAGCCAGGGGAGGAGTAACAGTCACAGACAGCTCAGAGTTTTCAACATTAAAGTTGTAAATTTACCAGAAAATAATTTGGATATTCTCTGAGATTAAAGTGGTAAATTTATGGGAAACAAACAAAAAAAAAATAATTTTTTTTTAAATAATTGCTAAGATTAAAAATTCATAAATTTGTGACCAAAAAAATTAAGAAATTTCAAGTTTGAGTCGTAAATTTAAGAGAAAAATATCACAAATTTATAACAACTTAAAATCTCTGAGATTAAAAAGTGATAAATTTGCAAAACAAAAAACAAATGAATTATTTCCTGGTTTAAAGTTGTTGAGATTATAAAATCATAAATGTGCATGAAAAAACTGTGGCTGTCCAAGATTTGTATCATAAATTCAAAACTCACAAATTTACCATAAAAGAATTTGAATACTCTCGGAGATTATAAAATCATAAATTGGTGAGAAAAAAGAAGAATCTTTAAGATCAAAGTCGTAAATTAATGCGTAAAAAACAACCCTGAATATTCTCTGGGATTTAAGTGGTAAATTAATCAGAAAAAAAAATCTAAAATTTATGAGAAAATCTTTTTAATATTCTCTGAAAGTCATAAATTTGTGACAAACACTCGTAAATTTATGGCTTTTATCTTAAATTTATGAGAAAAAAAACGTTGATATTGTCCAAGATTAAAGTGGTAAATTTGTAATGGAAAAAAAAAAACCTCACAAATTTACAATACTAAATTTCAAATATTCTCTAAGATTATAAAGAGATAAATTTGAGGAAAAAAAAAACCCGAATGATTTCTGGGTTTTAATTTGTAAAATTTACAAGAAAAAATGGACATTCTCTGATACTGAAGTGGTAAATTTACCAAAAAACCTCAAATATTATCTTGACTTGAGATTGTCAAGTCATAAATCTGCATAAAAATATCCAAGATTTATGTCATAAATTAAACACAAATTTACCATAAAGGACTTTAAATATTATGAGATTATAAAATCATAAATTTGTGAGAAAAAAAGAAGAATTTTAAGATCTAAGTCATAAATTTACGAGAAAATATTGAATATTCTCTGAGATTAAAGTAACAAATTTACTAGGAAAAATAGTGTTTGTTCTTTTGTTTTTTGTCAAGAAACCACATCGCTTTACTCCACCTGTAAACAGCAAATCCTGGCAACGTCTAGTCGAGACATTTGTTTGAAATTCATCATTCAAGACATTGACGTTACAACCAACGAGTCTATTCAGCTATTCGGCTGAGTTTTGTGTAAACAGTGTGCATTCAGCAGCTTTATACATCCCAAAAACTGAAAATAAAAAGCCAATGTTGGCTCACATGGGACACAAACCCTGGTCCCCTGGGTGAAAGTCCTGTGCTTGACTCATTCATCCAACACAAATTCCTCACTACAGTTTGTCTTGTAAATTTTGTTGATTTTTCTTGTGAAATTTCAACTTTAATCTTTGAAATTCTAAGGTTATTTATTATTACCCCAGTACCCCGCTCTATTTTTTTTTTAACCTACAGTGGCCCTAATAAGCCGCCGTAGGTTGGCTGCTGGTATGAAAACAATACTGATTCAAAGCAACATTGCCCGTCCCATTGCCTCAAGAAGTTGCCCGCGTGTCTCTGGCCTTCAAGATTTGGTACATTTGGATTGTTATGTTTATCGGCGTTGTAGAGCTCCTCATTGGTTCAGCAGCAATAGAAGTCAATGCCCTCGTCCCTCCATCGGTTACATTCAACCATCCATCCATGAACATCCATCTGAATCGTTTTTGATCAGCACGTATCCGTATGTCTGTCTGTCTGTTTGTCAAACATTCACCGTGTGTCGTAGAAAAGAACGTACATCCTTGTTTCTGTCCGTCAAAGCGGCAAAAACATTCATTTGTCGCCATGTTTGCGATGGTCATTTGGGTGATTGTGGCGTCCAATATGGCGTCGTCCATGTCAGTGCAGCTATATGAAGTCAAAGTTTTGATATTTTGGCCATTTTTGTATCATCCACATTGGGTATCCAGGTCATAGTGGATGTTCTGTCCGTCCAGCTGTCCTCCCAATGAGTCCATATGTCTGCCGGCCAATCAGGATGTGTTGCGACATTCATACCTGTCTGTCTGACAGCTGGAGGAAGCGGATCCAGCCATGACTTTGGTCAAAATGAAATTAACTTCCAAACTTCTTTTATGGCGTCTTTGCTTCATTCCTCACTCCGTCTCCTTCTTCTTGTCGTCCAGGTCGAAGTCCAGCACCAGCAGTTTGGTCTCCTCCGTCCCGTTCCTGCTGCCGGCAGCACAAACCAGCCGAGTATCGGACGCTCTGATTCGCCACACGACGCCACCTGTCGAGAGACAACGAGTGATTGATTTAGACTCAGGTATCTGTAACAGGTGAGTGTACAGCAGATGGTGGTGGTGGGTCCTGACCTGATCCGCGGCTCTGCAGGGCCACCACGTCTCGCAGCCAGGCTCCGGTCTTCAGGTCCCACAGTTTGACCGTCCCGTCGTCGGAGCTGGACAGAACCAAACCTCTGCAGAACTGCAGGCACGTCACCGCCGACTGGTGCTTGTTGGGACCTGAAGGAAACACAAGATAAAGTTAATCCAACAGAAACTGGCTCAGTGAGCTTTCCAGCTCCTCCTGGAGGACCCCAAGGTGTTCCCAGAGCAGATGAGATTTATAATCCCTCAAACATGTTCTGGGTCTGCCCCGGGGCCTCCTACCAGTGGGACCTGCCCTTAACACCTCCAGCGGGAGGCGCCCAGGAGGATCCTACGGTCCTATGTACCGTAGGATTGTGAACGCAGGACTCTTACATGTAACAGAGTACTTTTTTCACCGTGGTATTGCCACTTGTACTTCCTTCCTCTTCTTGTTTCCACTTGCTATAATGAATTACCTTCATGTCCTCTTTGTTCCCTCGTCTCCTCTCTCCGCATCTTAAAATAAACTTTAGCTCTGGTTTTACTTTATTTCTGATTCACTCTTCTTCTCCCTCGTCTGTGTTCTGTTCCCTGTTCCAGTGTTTCCTCTCCGTCTCCAAGAGGACTGCAGACTTGTGTGTTTTAGCGCTGACTCGGCCGCCATCATCTCACCTTCACGCTGCTCTCATTGTTCCCTCTGACACAAACCCTCTCAGGGACGTCATTGTTCTCTCACTGTCTCACCTTGCAGTGTGTGGAGGCACTGTCCCGTCCGCACGTCCCACACTCGGACCGTCGAGTCGGCGTTCCCCGACACAAGGATGTTGTCACGCAGCTCCATGCCGCTGGTCAGCGATTGGTGGCCCGTCAGCGTGTGGACACACCCACCTGGACGGGACAGTTTCAGGTTAGCGGTTTAACTTCGAATAAACAGGTTTATTTTAAACCACAATGTGCAGATTTATTTACACGTTTATAAAATCTTTTAAATTATTTCGACGAGTTTTTGATGACATAATCACTGAAAACTGGTTGATTTCATTAGAAAGAAAATAATTTTGGTTTACATCATACGGAAGCCAAGAGGAGCCGTAATTGCAATTTTTTTCAGTTTTTTTTTTTTTTGAAAGAATGAACCATTTTTATTTCAGTTAAATGCATTTTGAGAAAAAGGAGTAGGCTGATATTTTGTTATTTGGAGATAACAAAGATTATTTTCTTGCAATAACAGTTTAATTTATGTAGATTCTCAAAAAAAAAGGTTGTTTTCTCGATAAAATAAGATAATCTATCACAAGAAAATGACTTTTTGACTCATTTCTTGTTTGATCGTGGCCAAATATGAGACCTGACTCCAATAAACATTAGAAGTAATAAAAGCTAAACAACATTTTGTTTTCTGATTTGAACAGTTTTCATTTTTGTTTTAGATAATGTCATTTAAAAAAAAATTGCAAGCACTGCCTTTCCCGGCTTCCATAACTTTAAATTTATGTAGATTCTTACTTGTGTTGTAATTTGGTCTGAATTTTTTTTTTTCGTTTTATCTGACTTGAAATTCCAAATACTATTAAAAGTCTTTTTGCACCTTAACATATTTATAATATTTCACCGTGTGTATACATGTACGTAACTATATATGTTCCATCCTTTAGCGGTACTTAGTACATGATATGTTTTATTTTATTGTTTAATTCTTTTCTAATTTTGTTTATAAATGTTCTGCATGTGTAGTGTGGAGATGGCTTTGACTGTGTTTTATTGTGTAATTTATTATTGTATAATATTAATAGGGATTTTATTTGGTTTATTTCAGAGCTAATGGACACAATTTCTTTAATGAAATGTAATAATCTTTAATTATTCTATTTCTAATTTACAGTGTAATTTTGTGATGATTGTTTTATAATTTATGGTACATATTTAGCTCTTAGCTAACTGCAAGAACAATAAATCCTTTACTAAACACTAGAATGTTGGAGAGGTGTTGATGTTACAATATATTTATTGTCATCAGCATAAAATGGGTTGAAAAATACTGGAACACTTTACCACATCGTAACAGCCTTTTAAATGACGATAAAGATGCATCAGCCTCTCAGAACAACTGATAATTTTCAGACTACATGTTCCTGATGAACTGGTTAATTTTTAACCAAGCGTATATTTACGTGCTGATTTAATTTATGTGTGAACTAAAGAGTGTCTCTACCTGTCTCTGCGTCCCAGACTCTGATTGACGTGTCCAACGAGCCGCTCACCACGAACACACCATCAAACTGCGAAGACAGAGAAGATATGATGAGTTAATAACACACAGGGACGTCATGTCTCATATAGAAGGGTGTAAGCACACTTAGCAGGACGTCAGCTCTGTGATCCAGCTGCTTGTTTGTTTAATTCTAAACTCAGAGAAAATGTGATTTTTATGAGAACAGATCAGGTTAGAATCAGAGTTTTATTTATTAATAAAAGGTCTTTACTATGTATGAGCTCTTCTCATATACGTGTGTGTGTACCTGCAGTGAGTACACTCTGTTGGTGTGCCCCTGCAGCGTGTGCAGACACGCCTCTGTCTCGGGGTCCCACACCTTCACCATGTAGTCGTAGCCGCCCGACACCACGCGGCGCCCGTCGTACTGAACGCAGCGCACCGCCGCCACGTGGCCCGTCAGCACGTGCTCGCAGCGGCCCGTTGACACGTCCCACACGCGCAACGTCGTGTCCCGGGAGCCCGACACCACCCTGAGAGACAGAGGGAGGGATGACATCACTGCAGCGCCGGCCAATCAGGGCAGTTTCAAGTTTGTCTTATTAAAATGAGAGTCAAGTGTGTGTGCTCACGCTGTGATGACCCAGTTCATCATCTCAGTGTGTGAGTGTGTGTGTGTGTGTGTGTATTGTATGTGAATGGTCCATGCATTGTGTATGTAGTGTGTAGATGTGTGTCTCTGCACGTGGTGTTTGCGTAGTGTGTGTTTATTTATAGTCTTAGCATGATTTATAATGTATGCGTGTGTAATTAATGTGTAGTTGTGTGTGCTTATTGTGTTTGTGTGTCCTTCTGTATGTATAGTGTGTATGTGTGTGTGTGTGTTGCTTTATGTTGTTAGTTTTGTTTGTGTTTATGAGAGTGCGTACAATGAATATACTCCACTGATGTTATACTGGTTGCCATGGAGACAAGCAGCAGGCAATGGGCATGTGTGTCAGTAGAGTACATGAGTGTGTTACTCTAAGTGTGTGTGTGTGTGTGTGTGTGTGTGGTAGAGAGTCTTTTTCTGGTTGTCATGGAAATGAATGCAGCAAAATGTTAGGTGTTCCTAAAGCGTGTGTGTGTGTGTGTGTGTGTGTGTGTCTTACCGGTTGCCGTGGAGATGCATGCAGCGCACAGTGGACGTGTGTCCGTACAGCGTGTGGACACACTCGCCGCTCTCGGCGTCCCACACGCGCAGCGTCCGGTCGGTGGAGCCGCTGATCACCGTGGCGACCGCCATCTGACTGCACCACACGCCGCCGGTGTGACCCGTCAACGTCCGCAGACACTGAGAGACAGAGAGCAACACTTTGATGAACAGATGCTCGTTATCGCTCTTCATTAAAGGAACATTCCACTGGTTTTATCAGTTGCATCGTGTCGTGACCCTGATGATGTCACAGTGATGTCATCGGGGTTATCTCAGCTTGGGCACAGACACTACATAAGTGTTACTTTCTTTTTAAAATCTGTGTTAAGATCTGGAGCGCATGCAGTCTGACATGTTGCTGTTGTTCCTGGCTTCATATGAGCAGAGGACAACTCTGCTAACTGCTACGCTAATTCATACAATGTAAAATGCCATAGACTTGTGCTAATAATATTAGCATGTTGTATTCGTGGGGGAAAATTTATAACCAGCCATTATAAATTCATATTAGTTCTTACTTTGTTGTTGTAATTTGGTCTGAATTTTATTTTCATTTAATCTGACTGGAAATTCCAACTACTACCAAAAGTCTTTGCACTTTAACACAATATGTTTAATTTTATTGTTTCATTCTTTTCTCATTTTGTTTGTACACTTTCTCTTCGTCCCTCTTCCTCCATAGTTTTGCAATCCGTGCAGCTGCGCAGGCTATCATCAGGGAAAGTAACATGATGCGTTGTGCAACAGACACAACCATCCATGTGAAACACAGTGCACTGTATAGTTGTACTGGATTTAACAATTTATTTGAGGTACTCAGCAAATCGTTTCAGCCCTGATTAAAACCAGGACGTAAGGTTGAAATTTTATTTTTACAAGAGCTTTACCCAAAAGAGAGACACTGACTTCAGTAACTGAGCTAAAACCACAAGACTGTGAACTCTAAAATGAATAAATTCACTGCTCACTCATGTGTTTCACTCATTTCTGTGTGTTGCACCATAATTAGCACATTTCACATTAAAATGCCCATTTACTGAACATAATTACACAAATCCCATCAAAAAATAAATTAAAAAATAAATTAAAATCCAGATTAGGTGACACTGCTAATTAAATTCAACAATTACATCCATCTTCTGTTAATTAAAGTGCAAATAAAGTTCATGTGCGTGTGTGTATACGTGTGTATGTGCGCTGAGCGTGTGTGTCGTAAAAGTGTGTGTCAATATTTGTTCCTTTTTCACAGCTTGAGGAGAGAGAAAGAGAGAATGCAGTTTCACCTTGAAGGTGTTGTAATGGTGGTTGCCGCGGCAACAGAGGGAAACTTTGCCTTGGCAACTGTTGCTGAGAAAGAGGAAGGTGTGTGTGTATGTGGGGGGGTGTGTGTGTGCTGCAGTACACAGTGAAACTACTGTGTTACTACTGCGATTATCGGCAGTGGGCGACCGTCAACCTGTCATCATGTTCCTGATCATAAAGATAATGTAACCGCCGTGAATTTTTTACAGGGAGACGAGCGGAAACACACGCCTCGTCATGCCTTCGGGGTATAGAAGTGGGTGTGTGTTTTTCTTTCTGCAGGGTGCGCGCACACACACACACACACACACACACACACAGAAACACACACAAACTAAGGCACACACTAAAGGGCAGGTCTAGACGCAGAGGAGAGCAGGTGTGTCTGGTTAAAGAATGTTCTACCGAAACCACATCGACAATAAAACACAGATCCTTTACTGCAGTAAAAGTACAAATACTTCACTGTGAAAATACTCCACTACAAGTAAAACATTCAAAACCTTACCTCAGTAAAAGTGTATGTCTGCTGAATCTACATATTAAACTATTCTGATGTCTTTGGATTCATGCTACTGCTGCATTAATGTGTGTGTTGTATTTCACAGCTGCAGACGTTTGAGGCTGTGCTCACTCTAAATGGAAATACACACAATTTACAGATGAGAGCAAAGACAGGACCGGCGTGTGACGGCTAACATACAGGCTAAAAGAGAGTCTTTGGACAAACACTGTGGACTGTCTCCTTGCCTTTAACACACATAAAGGTTGAGGACTCAAACAGAGGAGCCTCGGGCTGTCAGTGTATACACACTCTGTTTAAATAACATCTCAAAGACACACCCTGACTAACACAACTGGTCCGCCTGACACTAATCTATTCTATTCTACTGCTTTCTTCTCTATTCAGCCACATAAGCTTCATAGTATTCTAATGGGTCATGCTGACCTACATTAAAAGCCTCTGTTCTCTTCTATTATATTCTAATTCATGATGCTGACTGACTTCTAAGGGCGACACACACACACACACTCTGTGCTGTGTGACACACTGGCTGCGTCACACAGCACTACACCAATTGATGCAAAGGCTGCAACAAAATTCTGGATTAAATCCAGGTCGTTAAAATGTTAGAAAATGGCGAAACATGCTTTAAAATGACTGCTGATAATGCTTTCAACATGGATGCTGCTGTAACAAAGCTACTTATTCTAAAACACAGACGCTTCACACACATCTTCAACCCGACAGCACAGAAGATCTATACAATCAGCACAGTTTCAAGATCAGTGTCACCAACTCAGTCTCTGACCAAATGTCTCCCCTTCTGTTCCTGAGATATGAC